GCTCCGCTGTGTTCCACAACCCGCCACCTCTCATGTCAGCGAGCAAGCACGTCGGGTCAATTACGTCACACATTAGAGAGGTCAAATTATCGTACATTATGGGATTTTTGGGATTATTGATCGTACATCGTACAGAGGGCAAAATTATCGTACAAATACGATAATTATCGTACACCTGGCAACACTGGCTCTGAAACTTAATAAAATTTTAAGTTTTTGAAAAAATCTGTAAGACTTCCCTATTTGTCTGCATACACGCAACATGGGGAGATATAGTTGTAAATTATGGACAATCCATACAACTTTGATATGCAATGTGATGATGTCATAAGCCTTGATCTGATATGGAATCTCTGTCTGATTGGTTTTAGTAACACATTCTTTGAGGTGAAGTCCATCTCCAACCAGGTGTGGAAGTTTCAGCGTTACCAGCTCATAATGACCTTTCACGAACGCCCAGTCCTTCCTCCACCCCTCATCATCTTCAGTCACATAACTATGGTCCTCAAGCATCTGTGCTGCCGCTGGCGCAAGCATGATGATGACGAGAGGGACTATGGACTGAGTAAGTTACTTTACGTAGAGTTTGAGAAAAAATGACTGTGAACAGCAGTTGTCGGTTCTAATCATTAAAGAGTTTTACATTCTTTATCCAATCAATAACAATAATACAACCAAAATAAAATGCACATCCCGTTTTTATACAAACAGCTAGTGAAGTATGACAATGAAACTAAAATTGTCAAACCTTTCTTTTCCACAGAGCTTTTCATAACAGAGGATGAGCTAAAGAAAGTTCATGACTTTGAGGAGCAATGCATCGAAGAGTACTTCAGAGAGAAAGATGATAGATTTCATTCTTCTAATGATGAGAGAATCAGAGTTACATCTGAGAGGTCAGACATGAGTACACAAATGACTTTAACTTCTATTCACACTATAGTACTTAAAGGACTAAAAACTACATAGTTGCTTTTATTGTAGCTTGCAGTTATAGATATTTTCTCTTCTCCATCAGGGTGGAGAACATGGCAATGCGTTTGGAAGAAGTCAATGAGAGGGAGCACTTCATGAAAGCATCACTACAGACTGTTGACATTCGTCTGGCCCAGATGGAGGAGCTGATCGGACGGATTGCCAATGCGCTGGAGCGTGTGACGGGTGTTGAACGTGTGGAGGTCAGCAAAGCCCGATCTCGGACTTCATCTGACTGCACAGACTCTGCATATATACTCCGTCAAGCTGAATGCCAAGAGTCAGCGTACATCCTACGTCAGAGCAGCTTCAACAGCACCGAGGGGAATGCATACCGCCTCCAGGAGGCACTGGAGGGAACAGCTGAGGGCTCCATGTCCCCTCCTTCTCCTACTAGCATGGCTACACGGGCAAGGAGTCACTCGTTTTATGTGGGAGGCGGGCGTGCCGTTGAACGTGCAAGTGGGGCCGAACGAGCTGAAAGCTTCTTCAAGGAGCGCTCGCTCAGTCTCCACCGAGCCAACAGCTCACAATCTGTGTCCTCAGCTGCTGCCACCAAGGAGTCTAAGCCCCTCCCACTGGCGACGCTGGCGGTTTCCCAGCAGCACCGTCCTTCATCATGCATTGATATCTATGTCTCAACTTCTGAGGAGGTGGGACCTACAGAGGTCTTTCTCGATCCTCTCCGTGTGATCCCACCTCTGCAGAGAGACTCCTCAGTGCAGTCGGATACCTTAGAGACGGTGCTGCGTGGAGGCCGCGAGTACAGCAGCACTGCCACTAGCGGTTTGGGCGACAGGCACTCGGAGGGCGAAGCAGGAAGCAGTGGAACAGCTGGAGCTATGTTTGATGACAGTGCAGCTGCTGACTTGTCATTGTGTTCAGCACACCTCTTACCAGACACCACCCTACCTCCTTGGGACACGGAGCCGTCTCCACCTCCCTCAGCAGGGCTGCTTGAACGCTCCAAGAGCAGCCGCTACCTCTCGACGGTTGGCACGTCGTTCCTGGACGAGCCTCCTCTGGTCAAGTCCCACAGCCTTATGTTCACGCCGAGAGGCTGCTATGGAGGACTGGGGGCAGGGGTCCAGGTAAAGGCTGCAGAGTACACCAGCATCACTGACTGCATCGACACACGCTGTGTCTCGGCTCCATACACTCCAGCAGAATGCTCACATTCACCTGGGACATCCACGTCATTCACCTTCGATAAGCCGTCAGACATCAGTTCGTCTCACCCGGAAAGAGAGGCAGAGCTAAGTCACACAGAGTCTGATCCAGAGGACCCAGAGGATCTGATTTCAGCCTCCAATGCACCTCGAACAGGAGGCCTTGGTGGGCCCAGTGGAGCCCCTCTTTGCTCCCCCTTCTCCAAGCTGGAGAGAGCAAACAGCTGCTCTTCAGACGACTCCCATCCTTCCCTCACACTGGCCCCTCCACACCGGAAGAGCCTGTCAGTGAGTGAGAGGATGGAGAGGGGACCGGGTTTGGGAGCAGACAGGGGACCTGGGCCTGGGGGGAGAGGTCTGGTGGGACACAGAAACCCCTTCCTCAGGAGCAAGTCTGGAGCAAGGCCCGACACAGCCAAGACTGACAGCCTGTCCATAAGAAAGCTGGCGGCTCCGTCAGCTTTCCGCAGCTTTGAAAGACAAAATTACACGTGACAAGGACACATTGGGGCACTCACACACTGTTAGGGTGGGAAACTGAAACAACAAGGGTGACAGCAAGATAAAGCTGCCTGTAGATTGCTGATCTGGACCATACCTACACTTTATTCCCTTTCATTTTCATTAGGCAAGTTTATTCCCACTCAGCACTGAAGGGCAGTTTTATCTTGAGCCACGAATGAGAACATTTAGAAGTTCCTACGTGAACCCGTCAAAACAAAGAGCTACGAATTTAGACTAGTTTATACCTCTTGTAGCAAAATAACTTACAGTGGGATGTCATGACGATGGAAGATGTTTTTGTCTTGTATGTCTTCCACTAATTGAGTAGACATCTGTCACTGAATTTCATCACATATCAATCACACTAGTAAGATAGGAGTACGCTGTCATTCCTACTTGTGTTATTTCATAGACACTGTCACATCTGAGCGTCAAAGAAAGAAAGAAAGAAAGAAAGA